ATTTGGGTTCTAGTAGAAGGTAAATCTAGCCTCTGCTTGACGTTTGGCTCGCTTCTAATGCGTATCAGCTTGTTTCATACGTTGCTCATCCTTCCTTGTGCAAAATGTAACCATTTGAGGTCCAACCTTAACTTGCACTGCATCTGCTACGTGTATTAAAGATAACATTCCGCTATTAAAATCGCAAACCGCTATATAAGTAGCCATTTGTACAATAATAGCCCCACTTGATCATGTCTTCGGCGTAAACTTCTAGAATTAAAGCTCTCGTTGCAGTTTTGGGTAAATCCTTCTAAACAACGTTGTAGTAATACCGACTTGTTTAAATCTGTGTAAATGGGGGCTAGCTTTTGCGTGCTGTCAAGTACCCCATGAATTTACACCTTTTGGGCTAAATGGTGTTTTGTCCAGGTACCATCTCCTGAAATCGTTAGTCCCGTTTTCTTCCTCGATACTTTTTTGCATCAATGTTTCGGCTACTGCTGTCGAAATAATGTGTATACTATAAACAACGGTATCATAAAATTAATGAAAAACTAGTCTCGACATATCCATAAACGCACAAAATGTAAACATTGCGAATATATATCTATGATTTACTTCGTAAGCATTACCATTTAAAGGGCAGGAATTTATATAGTTCCGGTCACATGATTGGCATTTTATAACTAATTTGAAGCACAGTCCACGACAGCTTGATTCCTCGAAAGTTATGTTGCTACTAGAGTTTAAAGTCACTTTATGATAATTGAAATCGCCAAAAATTCGGTAAAGGTTACCAGTTTGTAGGTTATCGTTGAATACACAGAAACGTCTGGAATATTGTTAATTTTTTTCTTTTGGTGCTGGACTAATCTTGTCTAGAAGAAGCCAAATGTTAATGAAACTAACAAGAAAAGATGTGTCGCTTTTGTAATGAAATACAAATATTTTGGAAGATTCTAGATCTAATGGAGAATAAAGATGAGACGCAGAAAAGGGTTGCACGACGGCGCCTGGGTTAAGCAACTTAACATTTGTAGAGAATACAAAAGATCACTCAACATATTTAAATGTTAAAAACGGGAGCAGTCATCAACAAAATGTATTTACCCCGGCATTTGTATTTTTTACTAGATAAGAATCCTAAGCTATAACGTGCCCCATCAATTGCATTCGCTAATCCAGTAGTCCGCTTTAAATTGCATAGAGCATTTGTGGGACGAATTAGAGTACACCAGAAGTAGCTTAGATTGCTACCTCTGATTAATGAGTAGAAAATGATGGACAATCCGAAATAATATTCCTGAAATTAATACCTTTAAATATAGGCAAGGTTCGCGCACGTTGACAGACTACGGAAGAAATACCCTTCTTGCAAGAAATTAAAAAGATTTTAATTAGAAAGCTGTGGAGTTACCATCTAGCGACTACCCCTTATTACTCAATCAAAACTGAGGGTAAACTCTTACTCTTATTAGAATTATGACACGAGAAACTTATGTTATACCGTTGATGAATCTCAGGCATGTTAGTCTTTGCATATTTGTAATCTATCGGTGTGGATATCTGCAAATAATCTGATTAATATAGTAACAGTTTACTGCACTATATTAGATTCTCTATGAACGTAACGTATGTACAAAAATATGTATATAAAAATGAACGTAACCTCAAAACATTCACCAAAGTGTCTAGAATAAGGAAAGTTTATTTAGACGATTGTAATACAATTTTGTTGTTGTCCTGGTTTAGCTACACAGTTTAATTGAATTTTGTTATGAATGATTATCGTAATACTACGATTATTATAATACTATGTATGTCAATACTATCAACCCCAACTACATTTAAAACCCCTATCTTACTCCTATGCATCTTTTAATCATAGATGGGATAGCTTAAATCATTAGTTTATACAATAAACGTGAATTTAAGAGAGTCTAAGAGAAAAGCCAATCAAATTGTCATTTTTTACAGCCATTTTACAGTCATAATCAAAAATCATCTTACATTGCAATGATCTAGCAATAAAATTCACAAATGAATTGAAACGCAGGGTGGTGTATGTGAACATTTAATTTAATTTTCAACATCGCGTGGGGAGCTGGAGTGTAGATTGAGTAGTTTACCAGCTGTCACTGTCGGTCACATGCCTAGATAAAGGAGGAGGGTTGTGAATAAAAAATTGCTTAACTTGCTGAACAGAGAAAAATACTACTTTGGAAATCTAAAATACTATGAATGGGCAGTTGGAATATAATAATATATAATAAATAAAATTCGTTTTTGCACTTAAATGGATTTTTTTGATTTTGTCAAAATCAACTTTGACAACAACTCGCATGACACATCAATTCTTAACACAATTTTTAATCCTCTTCAATCATAATTCAACAAAATTCTCTGCGTGGTTCAATAATACAAATATAAAAAGAAATACCAAATGACTCATTTTATAGGACACGTTTGTAACAAAATGACGTAATCTCCTGAAGATGCTGTAAATGTATAGCGAAACCGGTTGAGAAAAAAATTAAATAAAAAACCATTTAAGTGCAAAAACGAATTTTATTTATTAGACATAAAATGGAAAGAAAATCATCAAACAATATAATAATATATGACTTAAATAAACATAAATTGATAAACGCGCGATATGGGAATAAAAGAAAACAGGAAAGGGAAATATTAGGAACCAGAACTACATACAGTTATTCAGCGGAAAAATAAAAACCAAACAACTCAGCCTGGTATATGAATACTTGCACATGAATGATTTGCGCAACACACAAAGAAAATGCTTGTGATCAGTAAGGCACGGAACTTTTGTAACAAAAGGATACGATTTCCCCCCTCCACTTGTTCTCAGTAGCTTCCTAGAAAACAAACCCAGAAAACTAGCCAATGAGAACAAGTGGAGTGGGGAAATCGTATCGTTTTGTTACAAAAGTTCCATGCCCTTACTGATCATTGATCAGGTAAAGTTTTATCAGGAAAAAATCTACTTAATTAGTATACAGGGTGATTTATAGCATACGGAGCAGATTAAAAGGGTAGGTACTAGGGGCTAAACTGAAGATATTTTCTTAATAATATTTTGACTACAACTTAATAGTCATCAAGATATAGAACGTTAAAGTTGTACTAATGGCTGAGCATTTCTTACGATATACGGTATTACACTACGTTTAAATTCAAACCGCGAATATTTCGGGGTTACTTAAACAATGCATAATGAGCACCAATAATAAAATCTTTGTAATATGGCAGTTACGGCTATTTAAAAATTTGTTAAAACGCTCAAAAACTGGTGTTTGTATGTTCAAAACCGCTGATACCATGTTTTTATTGCTGCCAATACCGTTGATTTGGTTACCTAGCAGCGGACATGTCATTTAGCAAGTATTTTAATTGTTCTTTACTGTATATCAGCGGTTCTCAAAAATGGACGATAACTTATTTAAAAAATTAACATGGGATATCTATGTAACTATTAAGTTTTTAACAAAACATTATTAAGAAAATCTCTTCAGTTTGACCCCAAGTACCCTGTATATGCCGAATATAAGTAAACCTAAGCTCAGGTGGAAACCATATGTTTAGAAAAATACTATGCTATTGGGCAGACGACATTTAGCCTTGGAAACTCGGGCGTAGACTTCTAAAACAAAAAGTCAACGTTTCGTGACCAGATTAGGAGTGCCGTCACATGCCCTTTCCATAGATATCTAAAACAATATTAGACTCACGAGATCAAGACGAAAATACTGGAGAGGTGATATCGGTAGAATTGAGGATAATAGATATGTAAAATGGGCAAAGGAAGAAACCCCCACATCAAAGAGACTTCCTGGCTAACCAGGTACGAGATGGCATGAAAGCTGCTCATCCGCGTCTCAAGAGGCTTAATACTTTATCACAGAAAACACAAGACTTTGTCGTAACAAAGACCAAAAGAATCCAAAGTAAAAACTGTTTTCCCTTGCTTTCTAGCTTACGTGTTTTATTTTACGCATATGTTGACGTTTTTATATAATTTTTAAAAATTTTTAAATCCTGTGTCTTCAAATTCTTTCGTATATACTTCATTAATCTGATAAGTATGGTGTAAGAATAAATGTATGGTGGCTAGAGCCAGTTTCGTATATCTAGCAACGTGTTTGAATTATATCTATTAATATCAATATTTATTATATTATTATATCCATAGATATATAATAAACAAATTGTTTACACGTACTTCTCCGCTGATAGTTAACACAGAACTGATATGTCCAACAGAGTTTGGATTATTTACTATCAATGTGGAATTTTTTGTAAAATTATGATACATCATTCATCAACCCAAACTTCATTATTACTATCAACTACTAGGTCTACTATTTACGTTGTATTTACTCATTTTACAAAATTTGTAAACTATTCTCCAAGTCATGAATCCGTGACAGAGCTTGCTTCGAGCGTTCCTTTCTGCAGAATCTAATCGATCTTTAACTGCACCTGAATAGTACCTGAAGTAGTGAATAGTACGTAATATGTAGTATGAAACATATTTGGTATAATCGAATATTCCTTTTATGCTTAGAACCCGTTTGAATCTTATCATCATGACAATACAATTTAACTAAACGTGCCATGAATTTTTATTTGTATTTTTTCAGTTGATACGAAACTTTTCGATATGATTTATATAGTAATATGACTATAAGAAAGATATATTGAATAATTTACTTCTATCCTATTGGATATAAATTCTACTCTGTCGGAATGCTGCGTTTCAATTCGCGTATCCGATCGGCGATCCGTTACGGCGTCTTTTCTCTTCTCCTGCCGTTCGCATTTGTCCCGAGCTTTCGGCGTGCCAATGGGGTAAAAGATACCAAAGCTGGGCTCCAATGAATAGTCGAGCTTACGCCCCACCTCGCGCATCCTCCCTACCGAAAGCAAGCCTCCCCTCGCCGACCATTGGATCCCGGAACACTTTATATCGGACCGGAGCAATGCCAAAGCTCAGTCGTCGGGCGAGCTTTCACTGGTAGCACTGGCATGCCCAGGGCCCTCTATCACCATGAAATGGAACTCGCCTACAGGCCCTATCATTACCAACCGTCAGTTTTGCAAAGATTGGGGTTCGAACAACCTCTTCTATCCGCCACGGCGGTTCTTCAACATCATCTACAGTATTTGAGGTATTCCGAACCTTTGGAGTTATCGCCTTGTCCATTGGATTTATCGTTGAAATCGTCTGCACAAATTACACCACCATGTACGCCGTCTCCTGGGAATACCAAAAGAAATTCTTCGCCAGTTCCTGATCAACAACAACAGCCATCAAAAAAGTTAAAACCAACGCCGATTGTAACTACAACAAAAAAATCAAAAGCGAACAGAAAGTTAAATTTTGACGAAGATAACACATCGCCGGTTTCCGGTACTATTATCAGAGAACTTCGTCCGGATGAGACTTTAGTGGTTCGTAAAGGAGATATCGATCCGGCATTTAACGTAGTCGAAGTAACCGAAGAAGCGAAAGCCGAATTAGCCAAAATTGAAAATCACATTGGCGATTACGTTTGCAGACTATGCAAGGAGTTATACGAAGACGCTTTCGGTTTGGCTCAACACCGCTGCTCCAGAATCGTTCATGTTGAGTATAAATGTCCGGAATGTGACAAAGTTTTCAATTGTCCCGCTAATTTGGCGTCACATCGACGATGGCACAAACCAAGACCGCCGAAAGAAACGAAATCGGAAGAATGTTCAGAAACGGATTCGGAACAGTTTCCGTGCAACGAATGCGGAAAAAAATTCCGAAGGGTTGCTTACTTGAGAAAACATCAAGCGACTCACCAAGCTGACTGACAAAGACTGATACCAGTAAGACCAATCCCGAGGATGCCACCGAGATTATGGAGACCTCCCCCGTTACCATCACCGTCCGAGCTTCTTGGGATTGAGAGGTATGTACCCAATATGAGTTGGATCTCTCCTTATTGAGAAAATCAATTTTTTTGAAAAACTTTTGTAAGAAGAAAGTTTAATTGTGATATTTGTAAATATTAAGAATAATTTCTGTCTTGTAAATTATAGAAAAGTATTGATTTTATAAATTTTAAAAAAGGCGATGTTTTAAAAATCTATTTCTATTTTTTTCTTCCATATTGGATAATCTAGTCGATTTCTAGTCATTAACAAAAAATGGGTACATAGTACATATATTTTTTAATGATCATAAATTTTAATTATAAAAAGTCTTTTAAACTAAATTTTAATAATAAGAAAAAATAAAAACAATCATTAAGGTAGATTTTAATGTAAATAAAGAAAGATTTGGATATAATTTAGTCATCTTCTAGTCTGGGTAATAAAATTTCTAGTCATTAATTTAGTTTTTTCTAGTCAAACTATAAGTCAGTTTTATTATTTTATTTTTATATTTAGGTATTTATTACGTATTTATAGGTGTCCCCATTAAATAATATTCTGCATATACATATACATTCTTTGCAACATATCTTCAAATACTACATAACAAAAACTAGCGATAAAATTTAATAATTTACAATAAACAATTTTGTGTTAAAAAATGTTGAAACATCATTGGCAAACGGGACACTTGTATATTATTAATTCTAGTCAATAAAATTTAGAATTAAATGCTGTAAACGCTTCTAGTCATTTGTAGTCATTTATAGGCATATCAAAGAAAAATTTTTTTTTATTCCAAGTCTTTCTTAATGTAAAATAAGATTTTATTTATAATAATTTAAATTTATTTTAAGTTTTAATCTAGTCTTACTTATTAAAAGTCATATTACATTTCAGTTCCTTTAATTAAGTAATCACGAGATTAAGATCTCAACACTTTTGTAAAAATGTTGATTTAATTTTTAATCTTCACTTTCATACGTTTTTTAAGCTCAACCGAATTATATGCGGGCTTGGGATAGAGTTTGCAATAAGCTCGCCATAAAACTTTTTGTGTCCGCTTAATTTAATAATAACATATTTTCTATAAAGTATTCTCTTTCTTTTGGGATAAGCGCCAGTTATTGCTGTACTTAAGTATACGATTAGGTTTATGACTCTATTTTTATATCTACTAGCATTGACAAAAAGAAGTAGTCAAATGAACTTCTTTATGACGATGCTAGTACATTATTTAAAGTTATCTTCTAAGAAATTTGTGATATTAATTCTAATACTACATTATGTACTAATAAATCTATTTATTAATAATTGATTATAATAACAAATCTTCTAGTCAGTAATATTGTACAAATTTAAACAGAGAAACTGTACGAGTGTTTTTTCTAGTCATCTGCCACAAACGCAAATCGGTTTTTAATAGCCAATCTAATCGTAAAAGGATCTCATTGTGGTCAGGCCCTTAGATTTTAAGCATAGTATTATCACGTCATATGTATAAAAGGAACGTATCTTGTAAATATAACGATGCTGTGTACAAAATTAATTGTCATCTAGTCTATTAAAGAATTGTAAATTTAATGTATTAAGTTAATATTTAGATTCAACGAGTGGAAAAATTGTAAAAAATAGTTTATGCAGTGTATATTAGCTAAATAAAAAATAACGTAAATATGAACATTTATTTTTATTATTTCTCATAAATAAAGTAACCCATACAGGTGTCCCGGAATTAATAGACATCCTTCTACGTTTGTTATGCCAGGGTTGGCATACCATTAAAATTTGGTTACTAGATAATATCATCGGTATTGTTGATGATAATTTTTCCGTTAATAAATAATTTGATGCAAAAGGTAAATTACTACAATAAATCAAATCTAATTGAATGGTGATTAAGATTTTATACGAATGCCGAAGAACACATAAGTCCTCAAGAATCCTAAGTTAACTACAAAACAACTTACTACAACGTAACTTAAGTTGTTCCAAAAGCTTTTGAAGGAAATGTTTCAAGTTCTGCCTCTCTACCTTTTTTTTTTGGAGCTATTTACGTGAATTGTAAATTAAAGAGAAATGGAAATGAACGTCGTGTCTTTATTTCTTTGTGTCGATATACAAGGAGGATCGACATTATGAGAGAAATTGATGCTTGATAAATCAAAGGAGTTCTTAGTGGTCATGGAGAATTGTTGGAAGTATTTCTTTGAGATTCTTAGTATATCTTCTATGATTTAATTTTTGTATTTAAAAGATTGGTGATTTTTTATAAAGTTCATGATGGAGTTTCGAGGGAGGATTCATTTTGTGTTTGCAGGTTGTTGTTGCTTTAGGCATGAGTGAAGGTTATGGTTGGTTGTAGGTGTTTCTTTTTTACTTTCCATGGGTTATTCTGTTATGCAGATATCCCACGGTATGCGGCAAAGTAAATAAATGACATTAAGAAGCTGAGATATACAGTTCTTCTTGAGAGAAATATTGTAGGAACTTTACCTCACTATAAACGGAAAATATTGATATACATACAGAATGTTCCATAGCGAGGTACTGACTTTTGAGTTTACATCCTCAGTTGGCCTTATGTGCTTCTCCCCAATTTCCACATTTAAGAGTCATCGCATCCATAGCATTGACAGTTAAAACATTGGTTCAAGGGTGATGATTGCATTACACATTTCTTTAATGTTAAATACCTAGAGTTTGCTGTAGCTGTTAATTCAACTACACATAGCGGCATTGGATTTTTTGTTTTGCTTTGGGAGTGGTGCGAAGAACTACGGCGAGAGCTCTCTTTGATGGATCTTGGAAATTGTGGACTTCTAAGTTGTTTTCTATGTATACAACTTTGTGATTCCCGGCATTGTGTACAAATATAGCCTCTTTTTCTATTTGCAATGAAGAGTTATTGTATTCTAATAGGTTCTATTTCATAATAATAATAACCATTCAAAATATGGTTTCTATTTTGTGTTATTAGATGTTATTTTAAAGAAACTGTCAGTTTCATTCTCAGGTGTACCTTGAGCAGAATTTATCTGAATTATTATGGCATCTTTTTTCAATCGATTTTTTTAATGCTGATAATACATCACAAAAGGTGGCTTTCTTTAAGTTTGTTTTCGCTCGTTACATTGAACGTTTTAAATTTTTCATTAAAAGAAGATGTAGGCCTCTCATCATGTAAACTTTTAGAATCTACTCCATCAAGAAGTTTGTGTACCAAAAGTGGTAGAGTAAATATTTACTTATATTTTTCTTAACCTACAATATCAGCCAGAAAAGTTATACTAATAAAAAGTTCGTGATTGAAAAGTACACCAACTTCAGATATTGATTTAAAAGAGAAGACAGAAGAATTTTGAGTTATGACTCTAGATAGCAGTGGTTCACTTTTTTTTAACTATCAAAATTATTTGTCAACAATGATCTTGGCTTTTGTTGGGGCTAATTATAAGTTTCTTCAATTTCCCTCCACCTGCGTTCCTTCCCCGTTCTAAAAACACTATTCTGTCGTATGTTATTGTTGGAGATGATGTATTTAAACTGGATAAACATATTATAAAACTTTACGTAAAAAAGCAAATTTTAGAGGGACCAAATATAGCGGTTTCCTCGAGCTCAATAAATAACAGAAAATGCCTGTAGTATACTTTGTCACGCATTTAGAACTTTTTTTCTTCCTATAAATATGAAACATACTACTGTTGATCTAATTGTTAATGCTTGTTGTCTACATAATGTATGGCATAACAAATATATACTTATAAATCAAGAAAAATTAGGAAGAAAACCCATTTTTTCTACCTACTGAACATATGATTTCTCTGTTAACATATGATATATCTCAGTATGCTGAGATATGAAATGAACAAATTGTTCGACTTAGTTATCCATGTTTAAACACAACAAATAATGTTGCTCCATACTTGTAGCAAATTTGAAGCCCTCGCGCATAAAATTAGCTGTTAATAGCTGAACTTCTCCTTCGACTTTCCCAATCGTCCTCATCCAAAGGATTTTCTCGTACCTATTCATCGATGTCAATCGTTTGTATGTTATTAAAACCTTTGCCACCAACTATATTTGCTAGTTATAATTTCAGAACATACAACCGATTTTTCTACTACGAAACTTCCACTTTTAAGTATGTTGGCAACTATGTTTTCCAACAAGCAGTTAAGGTCGATTGGGCAACTGTTTGATGGCAAAAGAAACATGTGTAATACATGATTGTAAACTTTCTTCATGTTTCCACAACAGTGAAATTTCTTCATTTCATTGAATCAAAAATACAGGGCTTCCCAAAACTCCCGAGACGAAGCTATAGAGTGAAGAAAAAAATTTGAAATTTTGGGGATCACTAAAGAGTCATAAAAACTACATTCTTAGATAGTTTAGAACTTCCATGCAATGTGGAGTTTTTTTAAGGGATGACCACCCTACATTTTTAAAACAAACTTGTTTTCTAAAATTTGCTTCTATTAACTCCAAAAATTGGCGCTTTTAATGATTCGTGACTTTGGGGATAAAACAAGATCTTACGATGAAGCGCGGCACATTTTCAATGATTTTTTTCATCAACGACCACCGATTTCTAAATCAACAGTCGAAAGAACTGTTCGAAGATTTCAAGAAGATGGAACTGTCAAGGATCTTGCAAGAACTGGTAGACCGAAATCTGCAACAACTCCAGAAAAAACCGAAAAAGTGTTGCTGTCTTTTATTGAAGAACCTTCAAGTTCCTCATTAAAAGCGTCTCAAGAAATATATGAAATTGGTAAATGTTCTGTCCACAGAATTTTGAAAAGAAATAAGTATTTCCCCTATAAGTTTCATCTAGTTCAGGAATTGAACGACTTCAAAAGAAGGTTGGAATTCTGTGAAATAGTACATGAAAAATGTGATGTTGACAGAAATTTTCTTTTGAATGTTGTTTTCTCTGATGAGGCTACTTTCTACTCGAATGGTAAGGTTAATAGGCACAATTGTCGTTATTGGAGTGAAGAAAATCCACGTTTAACAAAAGAAGATCGTACTCAGAGACCGCAGAAAATTAATGTATGGGCTGGTATTATGGGAGAGAATGTAATTGGTTCATTTTTTATTAATGGAAATTTTAACGGAGACAGATATCTGCAAGTGTTAGAAAATGGTGGTTCCAAGTGTACGGATAAGACCATACGGCACGTTCTAATGGTATTGACAATAAGTGGTTCCGACAAGATGATGCTCCTCCATATTTCAGTCGCGCAGTCTGAGACTTTTCAAGCCGCACGTTTCCAAACCGTTGGATTGGTAGAAGAGGTGAAATGGCCACCACGATCTCTTGATCACTCGATTTTTTTCTTTTGGTTGTTTCTGAAAAGTGAATGCAGAGTGTATGCAACAAAACCAAAATAAATAAATTATTTGGAAAATCGCATACTTGAAGAAACCACCAATATAACTAGGGATATGCTCCTGATGATTCAAAATTCCATTTAATAAACGTGCAAAATAACACAACATTTTATTTTCCCATTTGGTAGTCAACCCCTCTTAATTATTGAAAGAATTAAAATATCCACTATTGGTTTATGGGGTTGTATTTCTTATCCATTACATTTAAAATGAGATAAAACTCGACAGGGGTTACTATTCAAAAATGTAGAGGTGATCATCCGCTAAAAAATCTCCATTTTGCATGGAAGTTCTAAACTGTCTAAGAATGTAGTTTTTATGACTCTTTAGTGATCCTCAAATTTTCAAGTTGTTTCTTCACTCGTTCAAAACTTATAAGCTCCATCCCGGGAGTTTTAGGAAGCCCTGTATATTTAAACGTTTACTTTACGTAGTACATTTTAAATGCTGCTATAATACCGTAATCGAGTGGCTGAATCAGCGAGGTGCATGATCTAACACTGACAATGAGTGATGGGCGCATTATTAACGAGCAAAAGTATATGAATTTCCACCCTTTTTGTTTCATTTATGTAGGTTCTTTCTGGCATTTTGTTCCAAAATAATCCCATTTCGTCGGCATTAACTATTTGATTTAGAGCATAATCGCCATGTTCAATAATTTTTGCTAATATCTGAGATGATCCTTTATTTAGTACGTATCTGAGAATGCTTTTCCTGTTTACATTGTAAAATGCGAGTCTGCTTAAATAACTTGTCAGCCATCTCTCATGTACATAAAATATCAGTTTCTTTGTTGCCTGAATGATGTATATTCTAAGTGCTTTCTCTTTTTAAATTTTTACCAACCTGTAATTACCATGAATGCCAATTAAATGTGTAAGAGGTGGCACCAATGGGAAACTATTTATTATGGTTTCTCGACATTATTGTAACAAACTACTAGAATATTTAGTTGCAGATAGAATTTCGAATTTCTTTGAGAAAAACAAATTTTTCACTAACTACCAACATGGATACCGCAAAGGTAGATCCGTAAATACTGCATTAGATGATACAATTCAAGATATCTTGAAGGCACTTGATGAAAGGAAATTTGTGGAACTAGCGAGTGTGGATCTGTCAAGAGCATTCGATAATGTAAACCATGATCTCTTACTAAACAAGTTGGAGTTTTATGGTGTACGCGGAATTGCATGTGATATCCTAAAGTCCTATCTGCAGTATAGAAAACAAGTTGTGGTAATCGACGGGAGAATGCCACGAGAAATCGAAGTTCATACTGGGATTCCCCAGGGATCAATTATGGGCCCACCGCTATTTATAATTTTCATTAATGACATGCCTTACAACGTACCTAACAGTAGGCTTTGTTTATATGCCGATAATACCACCATACTTTCGGAAGGTGCTACGAACTTAGACTTGAAGAATAATGCAGATGAATCAATATGTAAGGTGAAACAATGGTTTCACCATAATAGATTATTACTAAACGAGGATAAGACTCAATGTATTACTTTTCATATAGAATTCGGAAGTTCGCATATTAGATCGGTAAAGTTTCTGGGGATTCATCTTGACGAAGAACTAAAGTGGTCAATACATATTGAAGATCTGTCGAAGAAACTTAATGGCGCGATCTTCTGCATTCGTAGAATTCGTAGCATTAGTACCTTAGAAGCTGCAAAACTCATCTATTATGCCAACTTCCATAGCTTGATCTCCTACAGTATCCTCTTCTGGGGAGCTTCTTCGGCAGCCAAAAGAGCATTTACACTTCAGAAACGAGCGATAAGAGCTTTGTTCAACCTGGGAAGCAGAGAGTTGTAGAAGTTATTTTGCTCAGTATAAAATACTTACCTTACCTTCATTATATATATTCAACTGTATAAAGAACGTTCACCAGAAATTATACCTTTTGCCAAAAAACTGTGATTCCCATAACTATCACACTAGAAACAAAAAGGAACTGCGTATCCCTACACATCGTTTGTCTAAAACCCAAAACAATGCCAACTATTGGGGCATTAAATTATTTAACCATCTACCTGCGTCGGTATAAGATCTACCCTTTGCAAGAATGAAGAATGCTGTAAAGAACCACCTTTGCCAAAACGCGTTCTATACCATTCAAGAATTTTTTGAGAAAATCTTCTGTGTAGAATAATATCTTTAATTTCGTTATTATACAATTTATTAAAAAAACTTTGAATTTTTCTTTTAATTTGACATTTAAAAGATTTTATTTTGCAATAAACTTATTATTATTAAAACATGTTTCTTTTTATCAGCAAAGTTTAATCCAAGTGAAGGAATATCAAGCGATTTAACAAATTTTATGGGTGGCTCACTAATATCTCATCGTGTTAATGTAATATAGTTTAATGGTAAAAATAATTATTTAAAATCAAGTTTAATATTGTATTTAAAATTCCAACTTAAGATTATACATAGTTTTTGATTTAACCTTTACACTAACATTACAATTAAAAAAATACGAATACTACAATTTCCCAATAGCAGTATCATCCTGAAGTATGTCAGAAAGTAATTTTTTATCATTTAAAACATCGGTAACTTCTTCTTGATTCCATTCCAAGTTCACTTTATGCAGTCTAGGCTCTTTTTTACCCGTAACTTTTAAAATTCCCCTAGTTTCAATTAATGAACACAACCCGCCGAATTCCGCTTGATCAACCGCTAAAATATTTCTTTTCTTACAAACTTTCCTATATACATCATGCAATCTTCCAATCGTTACATCTTTATTCTTAGCTTTTTGTAAAATCAATAATAGTGTGCATAAAATAATTTTTTGTTGTAAGGGAAACGTATCATCCCCATCGTCTTTGTTAAAATTATTTGTCGTCCCATAAACATCATTTAAAACATTCATAACCTGTTTTAATTCAACACTTGGTTGAGTTTCGTCAATCAACTTTACGTCCCCATCGAAATTATCAAGACATTTTAATACATCCCGTTTGCTATCCTGTTCCACCAATTCAATGACCCTTCTTCCAATATCCAAAGCACGACGAACATCTCCCGAAATCGCGGCTACTTTTCCAGCGAGCATTTGCAAAGCGACCGGATTAAATACTTTCGTAACGCCCGCTTCCTTGAGTCTTTCAGTAAATATTTGAACTATTTGTTGTTTTGAGTACGGAGCGAAATGCATAAGCTGTGGTTTTAAGGAACATCGGGAGTGCAATCGAGGTAATATTCGATCGGTTAGATCTAAAGCATTTGCTATACCTATTAGGACGGTTCTTGAGTTTTCTTTTGAAGGCCATTCAAATATTGTGTAAAGAATTGACTGTTTCTTACTGTCCAGTTGATCGATTTCGTCTAAAACTAAGAGTCTGTAAATAAAAGAATAATATAAGTCATAAAAATTATGAAATTAAGTGAATCTAATTATAACAAAATTTATTAAAAAAAATGTATTTAGATATAAAGCGTTTTTTAGCTGGTTAAAACATGTGTAAATACGACTTGTATTGTTATAAGGTGCACGAAAGAAGTACAGTGTGTTAATTAATTACAGTGCACAATAGCATTTCTGATGATTGGATCATCTAACATGATATTAGTCCAATTTTTGATGACGATTTCAATTCCGTGATTGAAATTTTTGTATCAGCTCTAGTTAAAAAAATATGACACGGGAGTTTTTTTATAATAAAACACTATAATTTTAGAGATAATTCTAATTTATTTAATTCTTATAATGAAAAAAAACTTTCTCTTGTGTGGTTTTCTTGCTAGAGCTGAAGGCAGGGAGCTATTCTGAATGATCCAACAATAGTCAGCCATCATGTGTGCGTTCCACTAGCCCTGATAGCGTTCCTCCATGGTACGGAGGTCCTGGTGGAATCGCTCGCCCTGTTCTTCACTTAGGTCCCCAAGATTGGCGAGAAAATAATCCAGGTGGTTGTGAAGATAGTGTAACTTGATGCTCATGTTACAGCTAAGCCTTTGAAAGTAACTCATCAGTTGTTCAACGTGTTGAGAAAATTCAGAACTTTTCTTATTTCCCAAAAAATTTTTAACAAGCGAAACCATCTTTGCCGTTCCATGCCGTTTTCTCAATCTCTGTCATAGTGTCCGTAAAATTTGAGTCTTTTATTAATGATCTTATTTGTGGCCCGTCAAAAATTCCCGCTTTTATCTTTTCTGCGCTCAGTTTTGGAAACCTTTTTGATAGGAAAAGGAAACAATTTCCATTTTTGTCAAGACGTTTTATAAATTGTTTTACAAGTCCTAGTTATATATGTAACGGAGGCAAAATTATACAATCCCTTGATACTAAAGGTGGGTTTATCACGTTCTGTTGTCCTACAACTAGCGCTTCCCGAGGAGGCCAATCTTTTTTAATCCAATGTTGATATTTAGCAGGGATAACAGCAATAGTTGTATAATCTTCTTTTACATTTGTGGAATGTGCAATAGGCAACGACCCTAATTTATTCCCATTGTGTAAGAGAATACATTTTAGACTACATTTTGATGAGTCTATGAATAGACACCACTCACTAGAAACGTAATTTTGAAGTCCCATTGCAGCCATTGAACCAGGTACATCTTTACAAAATACGAAATCATTTTCTTCAGCAAAATATTTGAGGAGATTTTGTTCTCTTGTGCGGTAAAAAGAAATTTTCGTCATTAACATTTTTTTTGTAATTGGATTAGCTATCATATGTATGTCAAAGTTTGATGGTGAGCTAATAAATCACCCTGTATATATAATTTTTTATTCTTAATTGGGGTGATTTTCAATTCTATGCCAATTTTCCTCAATGAGTCACTGGCATTTTCAATATTCAAGTTAGTTTCTTTTTTTACGTCAAAATCATTACTATGGTTGAAATCATTCAATGATTTGTTGAAGAATTTCTGTGACGCGTAATTTATGTTGTTAACGATAAGTCTTAATGGTTTGTCATTTTTATGGGCTTTTAATAAGCCATGTTACGACATGTATTCTGGGTGTAAGGAAATGAGTCGGGGCCAGCCCCTGTATTTTGTCGATGAAACCATATTTCTCAAGTCGTTTTAGATAATCATTTATCTTATTAATTAAGGGTAGACCTGGATCAACACGTGTGGCTCTATATGTGTCTTTATCACTCACAAAGGAATTCATTTTATTCTCATAATCTGTTTTATATACTATTGCAATTTGTTTAGACTTGTCAGTTTTTATTAAAGTTATATCTTTATGCTTAGCGAGAAATCTTCTTAAATCAAGAATGTCTTTGTTGAGCATGTTGTGAAAATTAGCTAATTCTCTATTATTTATCAAATGTTCGTTATGATTATTTTTATTTAAACAATTAGATATTTCGTTTATAATAGCACTTCTAGTGACGTTAATATGGTTTTCAGATGATTTTAAACTAGTAAATATCTTTTAAATATCAGTGATTAAGGTTAAGATGTCTTTATGATGGTGTTTAGTATTTCTGCGATTGTCATAAGAGAATTTTTCACATGGCGACAGTAAGTTCTGTATGTTAATAGGTATCTCTAAATTAGTTAGATTGATACATCTATTCTTTTTGTATAGTGCAGCGTATTTGTAGAATATTTCATTATTTTCACATAAACCTATATTGTTAAACGCGTGTGAAGTTGGCCATAGACTTTAAATTGAAAAAAATGCGTGATCGGGGTTTTTACTCGATCTAATTTCGACGGCATCGTATTCCTGGTCGCTTCTTGCTTCAGAATCAAAAAGAAAACTTTCCTAACCATTTCTTATATTCCGGGAAAATCGTTTTTCTTCAAACAATCGCAAATTGTGGCCTGTTCAGGGTTCCTAATCGATCTAATTTTAACTGCATCGTATTCTTCTTAAAGGAAAAAGTGGTGGGCTTGAAATGTGAGTCTTCGATGAAGGGTTTAAGAAAACACGGGCAAAAAATTTTGGTAACATGAAATGTATTTGCTGTAAGTTGCTGGAGACTACGAAAAATAAATAATATACTACTTTAAGAAAATTCAGGACAATTGCAATCAGTATAAAAATGAACAACAGTTAAAGAAAAACAATTATTTTTCAAGTGAATTTGGACAGACGTTTTTACAGCATGTTCCATATATGCCGATGTGGACAAGTTTATTAAAACCAATACAAGACAACAATTTGGTTGAAAACTGGTTCAACATTTTTAAAAACAATATTTTCAATCAAAATGAATTAAGAAACAAACCGTCCAGATTTATTCGCAAAATCAGAAATTATGTTCTAAGTGAATACAACGAAGTCAGATATAATATTAAAAAAACTAAATGTGCAACGCGCACACGACAGCCTGCAAAAGAATTTGAAGAATCTTGGGTAAAACGAAAAAAAAAATCGTATTTGTTTCACACATAAAAGCGGCGTATTGAAAGAAAGTTAAAACAAACCTGCCGAAAAAATTATCTTATATTAATCAAATTCCTAATGTAAAAAAATTATCAAAAAATTATGTCGTTGCAAAATTTAATAACGAAAAGCTTTGCTACGAAAGCTTTGATACAATCAATTGCAAAATGAATAAACAAGACATGTGGTTGGATAATTTAGTCGTTGATTATGCATTGAGAATATTTTGCAAAGGATAAAAATATTAAAATATTTCGTCAGGGAGAAGTAGAAAATATTATGAACGGATTTTTACCAAAAACAATTAGCAAATTTCAAAAATATTTTTTCTCTATATTACGTAGTAGTCGTTGGATGCTAATGGTAGCAAATGTTGAAGATCAGCAAGTTTTTAATTTTGATCCAACTATTGAAACTAGAAAAGCACAAACTTATTATAAACAATTGTCCAATCCAATTGTTGTGTTATTGATTGAGGAATACGATGCCGTTGAAATTAGATCGAGTAAAAAACCCGAACAGGCCGACATTTGCTTATGTTTGAAGAAAATGGGTTTTTCCGGAATATAAGAAATGGTTAGGAAAATTTTCTTTTCGAATCTGAAGCAAGAGGCCACGAGGAATACGATGCCGTTGAAATTAGATCGAGTAAAAACCCCGAACGGGTCGAATTTTGCGAAAGTTTGAAGAAAATCGATTTTTCCGGACTATAGGAAATGGTTAAGAAAATTTTCTTTTCGAATTTAAAACAAGAGGCAACCATGAACACGATGCCGTTGAAATTAGATCGATAAATACCCTGATCATGAATTTTTTTTAGTTTAAAATCTATGACTGAAATCTATGGCCAACTTCACACACGTTATTGTTAACGCAATTATGAGTTCTTAAAAATTTGGGTAAAGTAATTCTATGATTATCTTTTAATGATTTAGGATTTAATTTATATTTCATCAATCATTTTTATCATATATTTTTATCATCATTTTTTATTGATTAATGATTTTAAAGACTCTTTTAACTTTTTTTATATTTCGTGCTAATTTGAATTCGTTGATCAACTTATCTATATGTGATTCAATTCGACTTATAAGCCAATAAGTTTGTCTGATTTCGTCTTTAAGAATATTGCGAGCTAAATTTTTAATTTTTATCTGGTGTTTTTGGTTAAGTATAAATTCGCTATAGAACAGATTATCGATGTTTTGTAGACTTCTACTGATATGATTAGGGATATAATTCCTAAACAACGATTTTTTGAGAAATAGCAACTTCAATCTGCCATTAATCAACTTGATAATAGGTATTCTTAACCTGGTTTCAATAGAAAAACCTTAGAAGCTATTCACATTACTAAAAATATTAATAATGTGGTCAACTTCAAATCAGACACAGGCAATATAGGTAAAATACACGCGGTAATAGTTGATAAGCTTGATATTTAGATTAAATTGAAACAAATAAGTAATAGATAAATTGAGAACCACATGATACTAGACTAATCCAACTCTCAACTCTCCCACTGTTTTTTCAACAATGGTATGTTTTAGAATTTATATATACTGATTTATAAGTGTAGGATTTAAAAAAATTGTAAATGTATTATTTCTAAATGTTTCGTCGTTGTTTTTGGTTTAAAATTGTAATTGTTCTTTTAGATTTATATTAAAATCCTGATGATGGGCTTATAATAGCCCAAAACGTCGATTCAACATGTTTGAGTAAACATAATTAACCCATGAAGAGTGTGTTATTTTCCTACAAAACTATCCTTATAATTGAATAATTTTCTTTTTTCGATGGTACACAGGATTAAGATTTTAAATAATGATTTATTTAATGATTAATCATTAATTTTGTTATTAAAACAATTAACATGCAAAAAAAAATTGTTAAATCAACATTCCACTTATTGAATGTCCTACTTTTAAATTCATTACATGAAATTCAACACTCACAATATTCTTTGTTTTAATATACTTACATCATTTTATGATTCTTTAAAAGGTAATTTTCAATTGCTTGCATGTTATCCTTTTCTGACCGCCCAGCTGCCTTAACATTAAGATCTTTAACTATCCTAGCAAAAATAGCTCCTGATGATTTAATACTGGTACAGTTAACATAAACTTTTTGAAAGGACGCTGTTATCTATTAAAACATATCATTATGATAAGAAAAATAAGACCTGTTTTTAAAGAATAAATATCTTACATGTGAATCATTTAAAATTGAAGTTAAAGCTGCAGTTTTACCAGTGCCAGGTGGTCCACTAATATACATAGTTCCAGACTTAGTTTCCTTTAAATGTTTAAGAATAAAGCAGCGTAACTCTTCTAGTTCTTTTTGTCTTCCAGGCATAACGCTTGGTGTTGTACTATGTAATGCCTTTCTTGCATTTTGATAAACCGTTTTATTTTCAAATTTATTTTCCTCTTTATTTTCATTAAGAGCTTTTTTTGGGGAGTTTAAACTTAAACTTTGAAACAAAGTGGATGGAGATTTAATCTCATTCTCTACTACCTTTTGTTGCTTTGGTGGAGTTACAGGACTATCCAAATCTTCTTTTAATTTTACTTTACGAGGAGTCAAAACTTCCGAAGAAATGTCTTTTTTTACAGTTTGTTTTCTTTTAGTGGATTTTTTCGGTTCCGTAAATTCTATGGAAGTTGTGCTTGTTTTTCGTGTTGAACGCCTCAATCTGGCATTTATCACCTCTTTTTCATTAACAGGCATTTCTAAATGATACAATTATAGTTGGATCGCAAACGAACTGCACAATTGTCAAAGTGATCGATAGACAGATGATTTAGAGGTTATGGTATGATACACAAATGCCGCCTTTTTTCAAAAAGATTAAACTACTAAACAATAGATGTCGCTTACATTCTAAAATAATTTATTATTTATTAATTCTTTATTGTTAATACTTTAGATCACTGAGAATATATATTGATAACTAAACAAAATCTTAAAGGAATTTAAAAAATACTAATACGAATCTAAGCAAAATGAAATGTTAGAATAATCTGATTTTATTTTGTTGTTTAGTTGATAGGTGGCACTAGTATATCACGCCTGATAATGTTTTAAAAATATAGGTTAGTTGTAGCCGTTGTAGGTGAGTTGTATTTATTTTGAAGATTTTGACGCCAAATCTGTATAGAAAACCGTTCAACGTAAATGGCAAGAACTGTGGAGAAGGAAATGAACCTTTCGGATTTACCAGTCGTAAGTAAGTGTAATAATTGTTAAAATCATTAAAATAAATGACAAATTTCAAATCATATTTCGAAGGAACCTATAGAAGAAAAGTATAATAGATATTTTAGAGACACAGAAGTTGAAACCAAAAGGCTTATTCATAACTATCTTAATATGTTAACAGCCGTAGACAATAAGGCTCAAGAAAACAAAAAGCAAGAGGGTGAACATGTAGAAGTGGTTAATCAAAATAAAGAAAATGAGACAAACAACAAGGATGGAGACAATTTTAAGATGATTGCAAAAAAGAAAAAGAAAATTATTGAGAAATTAAAATATTTGGTTAACAAACTAAAAACGACACATTATTCGGAAACAATTAAAAATACCTTAAAGCAGTATGTGTTAGCAGAACCTCAAGCAAGGCGTGTACTTGTGGATATAATTATGGCCACTAATGATAAGTATTTTAAAATTAGGCTAAGAGCTTTTATTCAGGAAATGAATGAAGAAGCATTAGGTATGTATTACATATGATTAATTATAAATGTGACAAACTTCTTTTATTTGAAATTTCAATGGTAATTTAAGAGATTGACTCTTAATGGCTAATTAATAGTTCAGAATAAGAGTAGTAATGTTTTAAAATACTTTGGGTTATGTAGCTTATTTTTGTTGGGATTATTGCATATACAGGTGTCTCGAAACTCAATGTTAATCGGGTACGGGCGAGACTCCAACGCATACCTGTTCTGGTACAGGTCTTAATTCAGTGATAATAGACATGTTTTTGAAAATGTTAAAAGTCGTTCTTGTAGATCAGGCGTGGGCAAACTTAATGCTAGTATGATCAACACTAATTTTTCTTATTTATGCGCAATCAACTTTGAAAAATGGGTTAAATTAGAAACAAATACAAATTTAATTAAAGTCTTTATTGATAATAATACGGGTGATTCACATAAGAACTGACACAGAGCAGGAACATGTAGAGTACAATAAATTACGATGATTTAACGCAACTTATCTCTACACTAAGTTGAAGCCCTGAGGAGTTATAGGCCTTCAAAGTTGGGTCTTAAATTTTTAAAACATTTAATATCTTGGTAGTACATTACACTAAAAAAACGTATATGTTATAAGTGTACCAAGGGTATTAATTGGTACCAAGTTGAGACCAATTGAGGCATTTCAAAGGGTTGATTAAGCATGATGGTCCCCTAAATTTTGACAGATTTGTTTAACCTTTTGGCGGATTTAATACATTATTACCTCATTTCATGTGGAATTTAATTCTAAAACTTTTTTTACTCTTATTATTTTTTAAAATATTTTGTCGATTTTATAAAAAACTCAAATATCGTATTTTATTAATGTTACTTAAAATCATCAAAAATTCAGTGCATAGAAAATATTTATATTATACTTTTATAGAAGCATTACTCCGCACTATTTTACCGACCAAATTGAATGCAGCACCGCGAAATTTGAATGTGTCCCGTGTATTTATATACCGGGTGTAACAGGATCATGGTACACCCCCCGTCCTTTAGGTTTGAAGATAATTGATTCAAATTTGGGACATCCTATACATATAATAAGAGACACTTTTTGACATACAAGTAATTTTTTTTTCTATTCCGGTTTCGCCGGAAGTGACACTAACTTTAGATTTTTAAATGGAACACCTCTATATTTCTATGTTATTAAATTTTTGAAATTTGAATAATTTTCTGAATTCAATGGTACCACATAAGTGACATTTCAAACGTCAATATTTTTTAGAATTTAATGTTTAATTTTCCATTTAAGTGTGCCATGAGAGTACCGTTTTATTCTAATTAACCCGTCTAATGCTAGAAAAATCTAAATTCCGCCAAAAATACCAAATTACGTGATTTATGTGCAAATAAAGTTCATCAAAATGACGGAATTTAGATTTTTCTAGCATTAGACGGGTTAATTAGAATAAAACGGAACTCTCATGGCACACTTAAATTGAAAATAAATCCTAAATTCTAAAAAATATTGACATTTGAAATGTCACTTACATGGTACCATTGTATTCAGAAAATTATTCAGATTTCAAAAATGTAATAATATACAAGGTGTTGCATTTAAAAATCTAAAGTTAGTGTCACTTCCGGCGAAACCGGAACTGAAAAAAAAATTAATTCTATGTCAAAAAGTGTCTCTTATCATGTGTATAGGTGTCCCAAATTTGAATCAATTATCTTCATAACTAAAGGACATACGGGGGGTGTACCATGATCCTGTTACACCCGGTATATTATTATATATACAGTGTGTCCCCGGATAGGTGAAACGACTCTTATAAAATGTAATTTTTTTTTATATTAATTGTCATCTTTTGGGGTTCAGCCCTGCTTGGTTAAAGACTAATTTTGAACATATTTTCAAATTTTAAAAAACTAGTGACTGTTGATACTGAAGCGAAAACTTCTTGTGTGTCAGGTAAAGTACCTTTTCTGTTTACAGTATGGTAAAATGTTACTCAGAATTTTTATTCAGAATGAAAAGTTATGGCTATATGCAAATTTTTGGAATCATCGGCCTACTTTGATAAAACCAATTTTTTATTATTTTCGTCAATAGTACTTTATTACGATTTTTTGTTTTGAGATTCAGATTATTCGGAAAAAATAAACAAACCGTTCTTAAAATGTTTACAAAAAATTAATATTATTATTTTTGTTCGCCCACAAAAGAAAACAGTTAATTATAGCTAACAGTTAATCCGTTTCATCATAATTAGTTTTTTCTTAAAGTGAGCCTGCTGTAAGAAATCTTTTGATTAAACGTCAACAAGTACTTCTTTTAATTCCAGTATTTGGAAAATTTTCACTAAATAAAGCAATAACCACATTTATCGGGTTTTCCCCGGTTCCATAACACTGAATCACGTAAACTTTTTCCTCTGATGTTAACATTGTATTTGAAAAACACTTTAAATTTACTAAATTACAATTTGACAGATTAACAGTGACAGGAAAGCAATTTTGTTTTTCCATGGCAGTCTTTGTTAGAAATAAAATTGTTTGATATGGATTTTTTCAAAGTAGGCCGATCAATCCGAAAATTTGCATATGGCCATAGTTTTTCATTCTGAACAAAACTTCTTAATAACACTTTCATGTACTGTAAACAGAAAAGGTACTTTACCTGCCACAAAAAGAGTTTTTCTTTCACTGTCAAGGCTCACTTGTTTTTTAAAAATTAAAAATATGTTTAAAATTAGTCTTTAATCAAGCAGGGCTAAACCCCAAAAAATGACAATTAATATCGAAAAAAAATTACCTTTTATAAGAGTCGTTTTACCTATCCGGGGACACACTGTATATGATACAATACCTGAGTTCAATTATACTCAGGTTTCGACTTCTTAGTTAAATTGATAAATAGAACACAATAGTTTATTAAATAAATTTATTTTTTTCTCTTTAAAAAAATATGACGGGCTTGAACAGCCAATGTGTTCTTAGAATTTAGTTTTAAATGTAATTTTACCTTTTATATGTTATTTATTCTTTTACAAAAGTTGAACAAAATTAATTTTACAAACATATTTATAATAATGTTTATCTACAACTATTGAATTATCTATTCGTTATACAATTGATTTTTGACGGGTAATGAGACGCATTACCCACGACTGACAAAGTGTTGAATAATGAAGCCATTATTCCACAGTTCTGACACGGCCTACTAATCAAAAAATAAAATATTAACAGAAATGACAGCTTTCTTATATTGAGGTTATGTCTGAAATGTCTATCAAGTTTATTTTTTTTTCTTTTTTTTGATTTTTTTTTCAAAATTAAATAGTTGTAGATAAAGTATAGTATTCAACTTGCTTATAATGGATGTTACCCACTCAGATTACAACACTCGCTCGCTTCGCTCGCTCGTGTTGCAACTTCTTCTTCGTGGGTAACAGCCGCCATTATGCGCTTGTTGAATAATATACTATTGTAATATCTTCTTTATGGAAAAGAAATGTGAAGTTAACATTATGCCATGATTATGCCTGACATTATGACATATGACACTGACGTCGATTTCTGGTATACATATAAATAATAATTAATGTAATTATTATAAATAATAATAATTACATTGCAAATTGTGTATGGCAGCGCCATCTAGTGGATTGTTATAGTAAATAAAATTTCGTCTTTATTTAATACCTATCAAGAAATCATACCCTATTCAGTGTGAAATTGTAGGTCAAACTTGACAAATAGGTTATAAAGCCTTGTCATTTACATAAATTAAATAGTAAGCAACCTGTTTGTCAAGTTTGAAGTATAATTTCATAGTCGACTACTAAATTTTCGCTGATATTAAGCAACATTAACGAAATACATGTCTTCAGTTAATTAAGTTTTTTATCAAAACGATAAAGTTTTTAAAAAAATAATAAGAGTAAAAAATGTGTTACTGTTATTCCACATGAAATTAAGTAATAATGTATTAAATCCGCCAAAAGGTTAAAAAAGTCTGTCAAAATTTAGGGTACCATCACTCTTAATCAACCCTTTGAAATGCCTCAATTGATCTCAATTTGCTACCAATTAATGCCCTTGGTACACTTTCTAGCTTAATATATTGCGAAGATATTGAATGTTTTAAACCCAACATTTAAGACCCGACTTTGAAGGCCTATAACTCCTCAGAGGTAAACTTAGTATAGAGGTAAGTTACGTTAAATCATCTTAATTTATTGTCCTCTACATATCCCTGCTCTGTGTCGATTCTTATGTGAATCACCCTGTATATTAAATACATTGTATTTACTATTTTGTACAATGTACTTTATTGATAAATGTTTTGGATAAATTTTTTGATGTAGATGCGTGACATTCCATTTCATCATCATGCCTTGTAAAGTTATGTTTGTAATCCCTGATCCTTAATCGAATAGATGCCATTAAATGGTCATCAGTCAGAGAACTCATATATTGCCATGTGTTGTTTTTCATTTGAGAAAACGCTGCTTCACATAGATAAGTGGAACCAAAAAATGCAAATATCCTCATTGCCACCGATTTCAATAATGGATATTTTTCTTCTGGTAATAAAGGTTAGGTTTGTTTTGGTTCAAAAATCTGTAGTTTCTGAGCCTGAGTCTATGTGGTTTGATTTTGTAGTTAAAATTACTTACAGAACGGATTCGAATATTTTATTCTTTGGTAAATTCGACTTAGGGCCGGTTGTATAATATACCGATAAATCTACCTGATAACTATCCAGCCGATAAACTTATCGGGAAGATAAAGATGTTCGCTGTTGTACAAACTGTTTTTGTCGGTGGGATTGCTATCGGCGAAATAAGAATCGGTTGGTAGTAGTTTTTCCTATATCTAGTGATTTGTGCCGTAGGTTGGTAACGCTAACGTCTCTCTTTGAAGTTTGAAACTGTCTTATCAGCACCACCGAATACCCGACAAATTATCCTGCTGATAACCTCGCCGACAAAGATATCTGTACATTGTGATACAGTACAAACTAACTTACCGGCTAGATAACGCTACCTGGAAGTTTATCAGTATATTGTACAACCGGCCCTTATAGCAGTAAAAGTTGAAGAAATTCCATAATAGTTCAGTTCGAGTTACAGAGAAATTCGAGTTAGTGAAATTCGACTTAGAGAGATAAAAACACATTTGAGACCTAGTCAAACGCTTGAGCTTACGAAAATTATTCGACGAGGATAATTCGAGATATAGAAGTTCGAGTTAGGGGAATTTCACTGTATATCTGATTGTATTGTGAAAATTTCTAACTGTAGAGCCGATGAATTGAATTGAAAAGTATGAGCTGAGCTAGATTTGATGATATATTCTCGTTATCGAATTCTTCAACAGGAAATTAAATAAATTCAAAAATCGGTTGAAGATTATTGAGATTTTCAAGTCGTCTCTCAAATTCTTGACTCTTATCGAATTAGTAATTTTCACTGGTACATCTATGTAGCAATATGTAGCTATATGAACTATGCAATGAAAGGATATTAAATCAGGAAACTTCATTTTGTTTGCAAAGGGTTCAAAATCCATGATTTCTACCAATCATTGAAGATGCTCCGTCAGTAGACATAGCAACCAATTTATGCAAAGGCAAATTTGTTTTTTGGGCAAATGGCATAAAAGTTGTCATCATATCTGGACCTCGCGTAGTTCCTTTTATCGAAAGTATTGTTAAAAATTCTTCCTGTACGGAAAAATCGCAAAAAAACATTCTTATAAAAACAATGAATTGTGCAGTATCAACGATATCTGTCGACTCGTCAAACTGCAACGAAAAGAAACGGCAACTTTGTATGTTATCTTCAAATTGTCGAGTTCATTTTTATTCATATCTTCAATACGACGAGTTACAGTTCTGCGAGAAACTTGCAAATCTTGAAGATTGTATCGCGAGACATAGCCAAATGCTCCGCGACACCCAGATAACCGAGTGTTCATTAATGTCGTACTCGAAAGGACGATGGTCTATTCTTCGTACGGCCGGTGGAAGATCTCGGGGACACGACGAGAACGTAGTTTTAAATGAAATCCAAAATGATCCCAGCACTTCAGTACGAGCGATTGAAAGAACCACTGGAAATCGAATAGTATTGCTCATTAAATTTTGAAAAAAAGACCAATGTGCCACATGTATAAAGTTTGCTACCTGTATTTGTCTAGAATTCATTTTTGCAGAGCAATGTTGGCAAAACATAGTGACGACTCGCAATTTTTAAACAAAATTTTGTGGACGGACGTAACGACTTGTAACTATTTGGTCCACTAATGCCCATACCTACTCCGGATCCAACTGTCTTTGATGCATCGCTATACCAGGCAAGGACTCCTCTTTTAAGTTGAGGATCACCCTTCGCCCAATCATCCCTCCTTCTAAATGACCTTATACAGCTGATCGTATAAATGATGTACTGTCGGTATAAGGTCCGTTTTAATTTCAATCAAGTGGTTTAGACATGGGTCCTTGAAGATTTCGAAATGTCCTCTGAAGTTACCCTGCATCAACTTGAATGAAGAGCATGTTTTCAGTGATAAGGCACTTAAAGCTGCCTCATGTACTTGTCATGTTTAAACCATGTTTGTGTGTTATGATATTTACCAATTATCCCCCGCTAGAGGATTAAGTAGTATATTGATAATATATGACAATATTTTCTAGGCTGTCTAGAGAAGAGATATCGTACGATAACTTGTGCATTTAAGTTTGTTGTCTCTTTGTACATCTTTGATTGATTGGTTCTTCCTGCCACATCTTTGTCCTGTTAGAAGAGTGGCCTAACCCACCCCATCATCAATTGCGCATTTATTACCATATTCAGATTATCCATAAAAAGCCAATTATCTTACACTTCATAAATATATAATACCACATTAATTTCCATCGCAGAATTGCTACTGCTTAAGTTTGTCACATTTGTAACTTGTAACTAATCTTAAGAATATACACTCCAATACATTTCTTGTAGATCCAGGAGATAAATCCACTCCGATAAAATCAGCTGAAAATAATAATCAACCAAAAACTCCCGAAACGGGAACATCATCTTCTGAAAATTATAATAATGGTAGAAGAAGATCATTAAGATTGTCCAAACATCCCCCAGGATCCTTGCGTAAGATTTTTTGTAATAATATTTCAAAAAAATTATTGTAGTCTATAGTCTGTTATATACAGCATGACTTATAAGTATCCCTGCGGTCGATAGTTACTTAATCATTTGAGATAGAAAAAAATGTTTTAAACAAAAGTTGTTTGACTTACTACTTTCTATAACGTAAAATTTTCATTTCAAGCGTCAAGTATGTAAATTTTTTCAAATGAAACGCCTTGTATATTTTATCATATTATGAATCTGACCAAATTTGTTTATCCAACCGTATATGTTGCAAACTCACAGCGTTAATACTTCCTCAAATATTCGATTGTTTTTCCAAAATATGCCCGGTGCAGGATCTTTTTAAAAACGATGTAAAAAAGACATTTTTACCGATTTTGCCTTTAAACAATATCAGATAATAGTCAAAGCCTGTAGGTAGGTGATAGTATCTAAAGATATTAGATATACTATACAGCGTGTTCATAGAACGAACTTAATTTTTTTTTCATAAAAATGTGTAATAAAATAAGCACATTAATAGTAGTACAATAATACTTAATATTACGTTCTGTCTATTTTTGTCAGTTTTTTTTTTGTTTCTGTTTTTGTATGATTAATATTCTATAATAAAAAATAATTTTGCTGCGACATACCTAAGTTTAATATGTTTACTTAATAAATATTGTTAATAAATAAAAATTATGAGATTTAAAAAAACGTAAGTAACGGAATATGCAATAATTGTTCTGCCGTTTAATGTTACTCCTTATTTTTATCACTTTTTGATTATTTATTTATCAAAAATAACATTTTGTATAAATTTCAAAATTCAAATATTTGTTTTATGAATACTTAAATAATTTTTTAATAACTCATTATTTATGTTCATATTTTAAGTCGGCTTGCCTTGGGCTTGCCTATTAATTATTATATTAATAGTTATGTACAGGCTGGTTCAAATTCGATGTCTACTGACATCTACCTACTGACATATATTATCTGACATAGTTTAAAGGCAAAATCGGCAAAAATATTATTTTTACATCAAATGATTTTTTATCGTCAATTATAAAAATTGCAGAACAGAGTGATGATAAAGAAAAAATAGTATGTTAAAGCATTAAATTTGCTTATGACTTAAAACATACCTGCACATATACCCATACTTATGCAAATATGGCATTAAAACATACAGTGTCCAGAATCTCAATGTTAAGCGGGTGCCGGGCGAGAGGCCAAACCATACCTTCTCTGGTAATAGTATATTAAAAAACAAGTTTCGTAAGACACGTTTGAAATGCACGAATTCAAGTTGAAAAACGAGTGGCGAAGCCACGTGTTTTTTAATGAATGAGTACTTTAAGTCTTATGAAACGTGTTTTTTATGCTATTTTTTGTAATTCGCGTTATTATCCTTTTTTTTTCTCAAAAATAAAATAAATTTTGACAATGTAGGGAAATAGGTATGTAGCAGTTGGTAACACCGTAACACTTGAAAATAGAAATTTGAATTGACAATTAGAAACTGTCAAAACACAAAATATATTCACCTGACAAAAATGTTTCATGTACACCTTCCAAAATAAGAGAAATTGCTCAGAGTTCAATGTCCTCATCATTGTGGACCTTGTATTCGATGCTAAAAACGTTCATAGACAAACATTGTCACATTGACAACTAGGAAAATTAATGACCCAATGTCACCAACTTGAACTGATTCCATAAACTGTTACTAAAATCTCATTACAGCATCGGATGCTGTAAGGAGTCTCATTACAGCACTCGTTTGAGTGCTGTTATAGCTTTCATTACCGTCGCGAATTACAAAAAAATATAAAAAAAAACAAGTCGCTTAGGTAAGTGGTGAAAGACATATTTTTAAAAATATTAAAAATCGTTTGTGTAGATCATATCTTTAGGTACTACTATAGAAGTCACAAATCAAACAACAAAAGTCGTTAGTTTTGCGAAAAAATATTAGTTTGATTGAGTTAATGTTGAAAAAATTTATATCTATTAAGTTTGACGCGCGATTTCTAAAAAAAAAGTAGTATAGCACCCTTGCTAAGTAATTTTAAAAGATGCCTTGTTTAGTGAAGATTCCAAAATGGTTATAACATTTGCCATTTTTCTTTTCATAAAATATATTATTGCCTGTTTTTCTGCAAAAATATGTTATTTAAAAAATTTATACTTTCGTATGCTATTTGTATTTTCTCTTAACTTTGTTAGAAGATGTGTCACTCAATATCTATGGAGATATGTAGTTTAAATAAGATAGTTGCTCTTATGTCTTGCAAAAAGTCTGTTGGCCTTTCACCCAGTACCCGCTTTACGTTGTGTTTCGGGACACCTGTATATTAGCTTAAACAAAACCTTTGTTTCATTTTTATTTACAAATATTTATTTCAAAATCCTAAATTTTGTTTTAAGCACTGTTTGTAAATAAATCTTAACTAATCATTAAGGAGATATTATAATGGTATTAAACCTTTTCAACTTAATTTAGTTGTAATTAGATTTTTGGCCAGATATACATAACTTCATAACACTGTGATTTTTATCAATGGGTGAATTTTGTTTTTTGTCATTGTTGGTGGTTTATTGGCCCGTTAGCCTTTAAACACGCCACAAAAATAGTATAGAACCAGTCCTATTCTTGGATAAAGTGTGAAGGAAGGCTCTAGATAATAACATTTTTGTGCTCTGTGATTTGTTTGCTAAGGTAAACGAATCTGATTGATTAAAGTATCTTGATCCGATTAAAGTATACGAATTTTCAACTTTCTTTTATATTCGAGATGCGATTTTCACTAATATTTAGCAAATTTTACGGTAACTAATGGTCTGTTAATAGTAGCGTTCCATTTAAGTTTTTTCAAAAATCACAAAAATATGTTATCGCTGCAGATAACGCCATCTAGCTTATTTGTGTTAAACCAAACGGTCTTACTAAAAATAGGGTTAAAAAAACATTAAATGCTCTTTCAAACGAGACTAAAAATATTCAGATTGGTTGAATTGTCTATCACTCAGTATTTAATAATATATGTAATGAGAATATTCATAAAAGAAAAGTTTAGTGCACACATTTCTTGTAGATTCAGAAGATAAACCTGCTATGACAACAACATCTGGAAATAATAACCAGCCAAAAACTTCCAAAACGCCAACATCACTTTATGAAAATGATAATAAGGGTAGAAGAAGATCATTGAGATTGTCCACGCATCCCCCAGGATATTTTCGTAAGATATCTTTTAATAATATTTCAAAAAAATAATTGTAGTTTATGTTATATACATAAGATTAAACTAAAAGTGCTTTAAACTAAAAGGTAAGTTCAAGAAAAGTAACTTCTCACCTTTATAGCACACAATTGTGTAGATGAAATTGTGACACTTGGTTAAATGTGCTGACAAGCATTGTATATTTGTAGAAACATTGGTAATTTTAAGGATAAAAATGTACAAAGTTTCTACAATCAAAATTTCAACGTCCCAACATTAATATACCCTTCTGAAAAATTGAAATATGAAGTGTAGTTTTATCGATATGAGAAATCTAATTAGAACCTTACCGAACATTTTGTGTCTTAGGCAGTCTCTAAGTTGCAAAGTCGACAAGTTTGATTCTCAGCTTGTCCAATGTAGAAGAGGTGGTATTTTAGGGCGTATGGCCGGTCAGGAAGCCTGAAAGCTACCTTAGAACCCCTTTGATGAGGCATAAAATCTCTTTGGTTTTGTTTTGCGACGGAGTTATCATACTCTTCGCTTGTCTGTGACCTGGAAGTTCTTTCCAGCGTAAGGCTACCTTTGTGGCCTTCCATCTATTGATTACCTGTTTTAAGAGGATATTTTGTAGTCCACAGCCTGGCTCGATTGATATCATTGACATAATCCATGTGTAAGGACCTTATACATTCGTAGGTTACTAAAAGGTTTGAAAATTCTGTTGATGAAACCTAAAAATCTTAGATTAATCTTAGCGAATAACTCTTACGAATGATTAAAGTAATTAGAGTCGAATATGGCATCATTTTTCACATTAGAAGTAACTCTCAAGGACTCCGATCCAAGCCTGTAAAAGATTAACCAGTAAAAGCTGTCGATAATTAAACTGATAAAGAATCACCAAGGCAGGATGATTGACATCAATGCCAACAAACGGATCATCGCATGAACGCACAGAATATACAGTATCAACATTACCCAAAATTAAATCAAGCGTCCTACTTTTATGGTTAACAATATTATTTAATTATACAGGGTTACCATAAGATAACGTTAACAGAAATTCCCGTGAACGAGCATTATTACCGCCCAAAGGAACCAGATTTACGGCACGAAATAGTAGGTAAGATAAAGTACTTTTAGAAGAGCATCATCAGGATAAAGGTCATCAACGTGTTGCAATTGTTCAAAAAACACAGTAAAAGGAACCGGATCAGTGGGCGGAGCGCAAGAACAGTCGTTTAATACCAACTTAGACGGAAAGCCACAAATCTTCAGCACCGATAGTTAATTCTGATAGAGCTACAAGCCGCAAGAACACTACCACCATCCTCCTTATAAGAAACTAAAGTCTTTCTGTCTCATCTAAAAATGATATAATCACTGCAAAGCAAGGGAGTTGATCAAGGGGTGGTATTTAACGAATTCACGTAAGCTGTTTCCGTTTTACTGCGCTAGACATCAATTAGGACAACAGGACCATAACACAACGATCCAAGAGTTAAAGATTTAGCAAATCAGTTTCAGGCTTGATTACCGTAGCTTTTGCTTGATCACCCCGACATACTTGAATGACCCAATTTTTCAACCACACATATTTACGACAAACCGCTTTCGTTGACTTCAACAGCTCAGCATTATGTATATTTAGATGTTCGTTGACGAATAACCTAAAAAATATTGGGAATGCTTAAACCAGGGGAGCCAATATTTTTGTTTTTGCGGTAACATTTCTAGGCCGTGAGAAAGCGATTACACATACCGCGGGATAGGAGTTTAACCACACTGTTTTTGCGCTTATGCCTCATTTCCCGCAGGTGGACGTGATGGAAAATGGCGAATTGCAGCAATGCCCTGTTTGGTTACTTGACAGTTTATTACTTCGACAATTTTTGATAATGTGGAACAAAGATCTTCATCCTGCTTTTCAGCAAACCCGGACAGGATTAAATTATTTAATCTGGAGTACTGTTCCAGATGCTCCACCCACAAAGTTACTACAGATCTAAGCTTCACATTTTCTGCGGTTCACCTTACCCCAGAATTTTCTAAGCGTGTTTTCAAAATCCTTTATTTTATCATAGACGGAAATCGATTTAACCAATTCGGTGTTGATCTGTTTAATTTCTGTCTGAACAGACATTAAGAGTTATGTTACCTCAAATGATGGCGGAAAAGAAGTGGACGCCGGCGTTGCAGCTGTTTAAACTTCATTAATAATTACCGAATGATCAGATTCTTTACAGGAGCAACATTTCCAGAACGTTCCCTTCACAAATGAAACGTAATTATTTGTACCGGTCTATCTTATACAGGTGGTCAAAAATTGTATTATATAAAATTTCAGAAAATGTTTTTATTTGTTATTGGCCATCGAATTTTGACGTTTGTATTGTTTTGTTCTTATTTGTGCCCTCTCATTACCATTATAAACGCTATGGCGAATTATAAAAGCTAGTAAAATTTGTTAATTACATTGATATATTTCCTACTATTTATTAAAAACCATAATAATTTGGTGAAATTAAACCAATGAAATACAGCAATCGTAAGTCGTAAGTTCATACATATTTCATTCGGAAAAAATTAATTTTGTAAGCCAAGATGAATAAATTGAAATAGTTTTAATTATTGTTGGTGCCAACTACAAGTCCTATCGAGACGCTGCGGCAGTGTTTAATGAACGACATCCCGATAGATACATTAGCCCATCAACGGTAGCTAGAATTTTACAAAAGTTTAAATTTTTTGGGACTATTGTAAATTAATTCAAGAAGGTGGTAAGGTAAGGTGGAAGAAAGGCAAATGGCTATTATGCAGACAGTGCCACAAAACATCACCACGCCACAACCATCAATTACACATTTGCTGAAATAAACTAAGTTAGCGCATCTACAGGAAGAAGGATTTTGAAATGTAACAAATTTATAGCATACAAGCCAAAATTTGTCAATACCTTGCAAAATTGTGATTTTGATTCTCAATTAGATTTTAATTTTTGGTTGCAAGGGCAACTGGAAGAAGACCGCTCTTTCATAAGACATGTGCTATTTTCTGATGAGTCCACATACCCTGTTTTTCCGTTAGAAGCCGCGGTTTCGTATGAAGAAAAAGTGGTTTCAAAGCGCGGCTTATAAAGAAATGCGGCTTATAAAAGGTTGCGGCTTGTAGATATGTACAAAATGTACCTAAGTATTTATTAGAATTATATTTACATTATATTTATCCATTTAAAATGTCATTCATTTTAAAAATGTTTTTCTGATCGGTTTTCTTTGACGGCTAGAATTTAAATATCAAAATATAGCAAATAGTTGCAAAACATTTCAAAAATAGTACTTTTTTATTTTTAATAAAACTTTATTTACGTAGATATCTAAGTAATTAAAAAAACCCAAATATATTTTAATGAAACAATATGATATATTCTACATTAAAACAAAAGATATATTCTATGAGAAATAAAACAAATTATGTACCTACTACTATGTGTAGGTAGATAACTATTCTATGAAATCATAAAATCCATGTCTTCTTCATCATGTCATTCATGTCTTTCTTCCTGATCATTTACTTCCACTTCATTTATAGGTTCATCTTCTTGTAGTTGCTCATTTGGAATTATTTCTTCATTGTAGAATTTTATTTTAGTCTCCCTAAATCCGTTTTTAATGACGTCGTCAGGAATATTTTGCCATGCTGTGTCAATCCAATTAACGATTTCTTCATAAGACACTCGCTTTATCGGTTTTCCTGTTTCTTTATAAGCATTATAAGAATTGATCATAAATTTCTCCCACAATTCTCTTAGTTTTGCTTTAAAAGATTTATTAACTGAAATATCCAACGGCTGTAACAGTTTCGTTAATCCTCCAGGTATAACTGCAGGTATTATTTGATTTTTTTTAAATTTATTTTTTACAGCATCGGTGCGATGTCCAGGTAAGAAGTCCAATATTAATAGGCCATTATCCCTTTTAAAAAATGATCCAGGCCGTTTATTCCAAATTTCATTTAGCCATAGCTCCATTTCATTCGAAGACATCCATCCCTTTTCATTAGCCGAAATAATAACACTTTTTGGAAAATTTCCTTTTGGGCGTGTTTTTCTTTTAAATACGGTGGCAGTTTCTTGCCACTAGCAAGAACACTTAAAGCCACTGTGAAATTAGCTTGTTCATGTCCAGTAGTTACAATTTTTATGTCATCACTGCCTTTTCTTGCAAAAGTAAATTTTGATGGTAAGTCAAAACTCACTGGTACTTCATCCATATTCCCAATGTTAGGTAAGTCCATGTTTGTTTTGTTTTCGGTTACGAAATGTTGAAATTGTATTAAATTTTCCTCCCAATTTGCAGGCAAATGTTGTCCCACCGATGTTGCAACTCTTCTTACAAAATCATTTCTTTTCATGAAATTATATACCCATTTTGGAGATCCTTTAAATTAATTTCTAACTCCCCGGCTACTAATGTTGCTTGTCGCAGAACCTGTTTACCAGTAACTTGTATTCCATCCTTTCTTTTTTCAGTTATCCAATTTTTTAATTGAATTTCTATTTGTGGCCAACGTGTTACTGCTCAACACATCAGAATGTGTGCGACTTATAATCGAGAGCGGCTTGTATTTGAGTGCGGCTTATATTTGTGTGCGGCTTAGTAGGGATAAAATGTAGAAAAAAGTATAACATTTAATAAGCCGCGGGCTTCTACCGGAAAAACAGGGTACTCGTCGAACGGAATAGTAAATTCACAAAACTGTCGTTGGTGGGCTGATGACAATCCACATTTTGTCATAAAAGCAAGAAACCAATATTATTTTAAAACAAATGTTTGGTTTGGGATTTTTAACAACAGCATTGCCGGCCTCTTTTTTTCGTGATACTCTCAAGTCCCAAAGATATTTAGAACTTTTAGAAAATATTTTGTTTAATATAATAACGGATATGCCATTAAATATTAGACGCAAAATGTATTTTCAACAAGACGGTTTCCAAGCGCACAGTACACAAGATGTAAGAAATTATTTGGATCATTTGTTGAAAATGCAGAAATAAGAACACAAACAGTATGCAACCATATAATGCAACCAATATCTGATACATTTCGTATGATTTTGATAAATTCCCTTATAAAATAATAACTGTAACAGATAGGTGTACGGGCTGCTGTTAATAAGTTGTAGAGAATTAAATTCTGCATTTGAGAGCCTAATAACGTATGGGTGTTTCATTTAAAATTTTTATTTTTTTTTGCAATTGAATAACGTAAATTGGTAACTCAACTTTTGACCAGCCTGTATAAGATAGACCGGTCAACTAACTACGTTTCATTTGTGAACATTTGAAGCGTAATTATACAAATTTTCTTTCTCAAATTTTTTTTTGTTGCTTGTACAAGTTTCGATGGGTTTGCAGGGTATCTAAGTTATTATGAAAGATAGAAAGTTGCGGTTTTTGCTACTTTTTTGTGAAGCTTACAATGCCGCAAACCAAATTTTCTTATTAATATTATTACTTCCCATCCTGTTAGATTATGTAAATAAAAAACTTTGCTTTTCAGAAGGGTATCTTTTATTTTCGGCTCTATTTACATTACTTTATTTACATAATCAAATTTTCTTAGCCCTCTTCGTTTTTGATATACAGGGAATGTTTAAAAATATACGATTTTCAGACACCTCTGTATCTGGGCTATCCGAAAACTTAGTAAAAACGGGTTTTAATAGCTTTTTTCACATAGAATCCACGTTGAATTTTTCTAGCCTTCACGGTTTTTTAGTTATAAACACAACTTAGGTTTTTTTAAATGGAACCACCTATACATTTTATTTTTTTATTGAACTAGAATTTTAAAGCTTTTCAAAAATGTATAATACTCTACACTTACCTTGATAATTAACCTCGAAATTTAATAAAATACATTATTTTATAAGTAGGCTATGATAAATTAAGTGATCGCGTTGCTAGGATACCGGAATAAACAGTAAATTTAGTTAATTACTGTCAAACTTGATTTTGGATTCTATCCTCACAATAAGTCGAATGTTACTTGATGTCGGTAGTGCTTTTAAACATCAATAAGTTGTATTGTTATTACCTTTTTCTTGACATGGAGCGCTATAAAAATTATGAAAAATATGACATGCTAGCATGTTACATTCATGCAAATGAAAATTTAAACCAAGCTGCTGAATTATACATAAATAGGTAGAATGGAACATTTATAAGCAATAACATTTTATTAGTAGATTGTTTCATTTCAGATCTCCAGAAAGAGCGCAACCAAATCCAAAAATCTAAATACAATTAAACGCATCACAAAACTTTCTGAACAATGTGTGCATCAAAATGGTAACAACTTTAAACAATTCTTGTAACGTGAAGCTACATTTGCATCATCTTTAGTTTATAATTATTTTTCGTTTTTTACAAACAAAAGTTAATAGATACATTTTTTAATAAGTCAATAATTAAATAAAGGTTATATACGAGCCCTAACAACTATATATTGGGACAAAATAAAATGTGTATACATATAATAAATTAACAACAATTAAACAGTTTATTTTGTTTAATAATTTTGTTTAAATTTGATGTATGTGTTGGCGATTACCGTAAACGCGTAATTCGCAATAAACATAAACATTTCATAAAGATTGTTTAAAACGTTGTGTAAAATTTCCGAAGGGAGTAATGATTTGGGGCTGTATGGCAGCTTCGGGATTAGGATGCTTTGAATTTATTGATGGCACCGTGAACACCGCAAAATGTCAATAAATACTACAAAACCGCTTACTACCAAGTATCGTGTTGGCGAAAATTACATATTTCAGTAGGATGGACCGACTTATCAACAGCCAAAACTACAAAAAGGTGGTTCAGCGATCAAAATATTAATGTTCTGTCTTGGCCTTCCAACAGTCCAGATCTGAATGTAATTGAAACAGTGTGGTACAAAATGAAATAAACTTTGAGGAACAACCCACAACGCACATTGCCAGAATTTAAAGCCAAAATAAAACAAATTTGGGATGGATTTACTCCTGAACAGTGCAGAACCTTGGTGAATTTAATGCCCAACCGGATTCAAACGGTTATAAAATCTAAAAGCGATGTTACTCCATATTAGAAATACAAATCGTGCCATGTCCCATTATTTAGTTGTCAGGCAAAATGTACCTTTTTCTAGTTTAATTAGAAGTAATAGGAAATGTATTTTGTTTTTTGTGTTGTTTATTAGACAAAACTGTTGTTAATTGTCTAATCAAATGATATTCATTTTAAAAATTTATTAAAACAAAATAATCTGTTTAATTGTTGTTAATTATACAGGTTGCCCATTATATATGGAATATAACATATGTATATCTTGGTAGGTATCAACATTATAAATAATATTTTATGCGAAAGTTCTTTAATATTTTATTTGCCATAATAAGACTGCATTCAATTGTTTTTAATTCAGAAAACAAATGAGTCACGAATAACACTTGAATTTTTTTAAATGGCAATGACATGTACCCTTTCGTTAGGCTCATTTGATAGAGATTTTTCTTCTCTTTACGATGACGTAAAATTTTAGTACCCTTATATCAGAAAATCAATAAATTAAGATGATTTAACGCAACTTATCTCTATACTAAGTTGTACCCCTGAGGAGTTATAGACCTTCAAAGTTGGGTCTTAAATTTTTAAAACGTTGAATATCTTCGTAATACATTAAGCTAGAAAAACCAAATTTGGTATACATTATGAGTGTACCGAGGGTACTAATTGGTAGCAAGTTGAAACCAATTGAGGCATTTCAAAGGGTTAATTAAGGGTGATGGTACCCTAAATTTAAACCTTGTCGTCAAATAACTTTGAATTTTCGCTTATTTTAAGTATCAATACGAAATACGTGTCTTTAGTTATTTAAGTTTTATATAAAAATGACAAAGTTTTTTAAGAAACAATAAAAGTAAGAAAAGTTTTAGAATTACATTCCACATGAAGTGAAGTAGTAATGTATTAAATCCGCCAAAAGGTTAAAAAAATCTGTCAAAATTTAGGGTACCATTACCCTTAATCAACCCTTTAAAATACCTCAATTGAGTTCAATCTGCTACCCATTAATACCCTGGGTACACTCATAACGTATATCAAATTTGGGTTTTCTAGCTTAATGTATTACGCAGGTATTGAAGTTTTAAAAAATTTAAGAGCCAACTTTGATGGCTTATAACTCGTCAGATGTACAACTTAGTATAGAGATAAGTTGCGTTAAATCATCTTAATTTATTGTCCTCTACATGTCCCTGCTCTGTGTCGGTTCTTATGTGAATCACTCTGTATACTATATTCCATACATAATGGGCACCTGTATATAAATTCTATTATGTCCCAATATATAGTTGTTAGGGCTCGTAGTAGTAAAAATATTATAGTATTTTCAAAATTCTTTGTTTATTCCGGTATTCTAGCAACGCGATCACTTAATTTATCATAGCTTACTTATAAATAATGTATTTTTTTTAATTTCGAGATTAATCTTTGAAAAGCTTGAAAAAAATTTAGTTCAATAGAAAAATAAAATATTGGTGGTTCCATTAAAAAAAATGGAATGGTTGTGTTTATAACTCAAAAACAGTGATGACTAAAAAAAATCTACGTGCACCATTGGATTCTACGTAAAGAAATCTATTAGAACCCGTTTTTACTTTTTTACTAATTTTCCGGATAGCCGAGGCACAGGGGGTGTCTGAAAATCGTAAATTTTGAAACACATATCAAAACCGCAACTTTCTATATTTCATAATAACTGAGATACCCTGCAAACCCATCGAAATTTGGACCTGTTCAGTGGCTGAGAAATATGATTATAAAAAACACATATTGATAATTGCAAAAAAAAACTTAAAATCGAAAACGTAAAAAGGGTGGTTACCAATATCTTTTATTGAAGTCTACTTATTTTTTCGCATATAATTAAAAGGTGTAATAAAAACTATAGCATTCTATTTAAAATAACGAAGTTGTGGTCTACTTCCAGTAGACCGGAAGTAGCGAGCATATTGAAAATATTTTAGATCGGAAGATCGGTATGAACGTAGATGCAATGGTCAAAAAAAAAACGGGTGTTGCTGATTTTTTGGCGGATGCTGTATAGTTTACTATATTAGTTTATTGTCTTATGTTTTCAGAAACTAAACCAGCTATGGTTTTTTATATCCTACCCGATGATACTGTCCGTGAACGAGAAAATACTTCAAGGATTAAGAAGTTAACACATACCGTTCCAAAAAGTAAATATTTTTTCTTGGAATAAATACGGAAAGAATTTTTAGTAATCTAAGTGAAAAACTTTTTGTTTTCTGTATTTATTTAAGGAATAATTTAACATTTATTCATATCTGCCAGATTACATCTTAATATTTTTATTTCAGTTAAACGAAGGAAATTGTATAATCCCAATTCGATTTAGTTCAAGATATTTTTCGTTCTCGTTTATTTTAGTTTTTATTAATATTTTATCGAAAAAATACTACAAAAATTAAAAGTGACGACTGTGATAACACCGAAAGATCGCCGCTTCAACATACCCTTCTATAAGGTACATACTTTTCATTGTTAATAAATATGGATTAGTAATTAGTAGATATATTAGTATCTCTAAAATGTACATGATTTTTTATTTTAGTTAAATGGTACAATCAGTTTTATTTAGTTTGAAGTATTTTTTCATTTTTGTTAATGCTGGTTTATATTTGATTTCAATAAAATGTATTTATAATAATTACGTTAGCTTTGTTAATGAAGTTCACTAATTTGATAATATGGTTTAAATAAATAATAATAAGTAAAACTTCACGTTTAGTTTGATCTTTGATAAATTCAACAACCCAATTTAAATTTCCGTTAATATCTATTGTTCCAACTCAAAGGTGACCTCCAAACCGTTCGTATTAAAAATAGTAGCACGAAACTGGAGCAAAGGATTGACACGAGAAATGGTTTGACCTGCAAAATAGGAAAAAGATTACACAGTCATGTAGGATGGGGAAGTAGATATGAGCATCCTGTCTACGCATCCGTTGAAACACAAACATTGTTATACACGACAAGGGGATAGCAAATTCATTCATTACTCACTCATTTACTAACAATTTACGACATTTTTATCTTAAAGAAATACAAAAACCGTAAAGCCATAAAAATTTCGCGTTTATCTATTTTTAAATTTAAATCTTTACGAAACCCAAAGCGCAGATTTCGTGTACAGTAAAAAGAAACCAGACCACCAGAACTGAAAGATCAGCTATTACAAGCTGTAATTGTTTGTTCGAGTGTATTTTTAGATCCTTACACAAAAAAAAAACTAACCGTTTCGCTTTTACATTTTTTCTTCTACTACCAATTATTTAGATTTTATTTTTTTACATTTCTTTTTTCGTTTAATCTTATTCTATAATTATATTTTGCATTTACTTTTTAAAAAGTACTATACTAAAGATATTTCTATTAGTTGATTTACCATGACACTTTTTATGGGTAAATCTAATAATTAAAAAAATTAAAACGCCTCGTTTTAAAATTGTTCATTTCAAACTTCCTTATTAAGGCAGTGGCGCGTGTTCGCGGTTCTAGCTCGATATCATCCTCGTTCCTATTAATACAATTTTAATTATCATTGTATTCGCCTATTCCTATCTCCTGGTTATTTTCATATTTCCGCGAATGATACGTTGCGATTTTGAAACGAATACGTATAATAGTAAACATTCTTATATTTCGTTATTTAGATTATACAATTTTAGTATTTAATTGTTTAGCAATTAATAATAAAGTTAATTTGTCCAGTGTAATTTGGAGTCAGATTACAATCTATATAAAACGTTGAGAGGACCCAATTGTTTCTTTTCGATTTACGAGTTATTTTAGGTGTGTTACTGTGACTTTAAATAGTGTATTTAAAACCTAATATACTGGAAAACTGGTAAGTAATTTACTTTACTAAAAATACGGTGACTTTCTTTGACCAAATACTGCTTTTTCTCTTTTTATAAGAAAAACACATGATAATTCATTTTAACAGAGAAAGAGAATCTAACAGCTATAAAAGATCTTCAAATTCTAGTATTTCTTTTGAACAAAAAGGCAAAATTGTCAGAAAATTTAAGCAAAGAAAGTTATAGCTGGTTGTTATATTCCTGTTAACAAGAAATGAATTTAGTCTAAATATTGTATGTTTTTCTTTTAGGGCAAAAAAAGGGCAAAAGTTTCTATTGCATGGGAAATCATAATACCATAACACATCCTTTGTGGATTTCTATTTTCTTCTTCTGTCCTGAGCTTTTACGCCATACCTTAGGTTAGGGATGGCGAACCTTTACGTATCAACGTGCCATAAAAAATTTTGACTTTGTGATTATTAGGAATATAATAGTAATAAATACTGTCAACTCAAAACTCTTTATTTACTACAAATAAACGGATCATTTTGCAATGTTTTAATTATACGCGAATGCCTGCTGAACTGGAGTCATCTGTCAAACAGTTTCTAACCGACTCATTAATGTTATTTATCTCTGAAAATAATGACTCGCATGAGCCAGCTTCTTCAAACAATGAAATGTGTCTGGTAACGCATTCCATATTTCCAGAATTTTGTTATTAGCATTTTCACTTATATTACTTGTCAATCTTTCTGTTTCAATTAATTCTAACTTTTTCAATAAATTTTTGAATCCATATTGAACAAGACTGGAAATCAATCAGCTGCATTTTAAATTCTTCAATTTCCAACCAATCCAATTGGGACCAATTCAGTTTATCCAATGACGTCACATCAGGGTACATAATAAGCTTGAGTATTTCCGATAATTCTTTGAACTGAGAAAATCTCGCTGAAAATTCCCTGATTGAAGAATCAATCACAGAAATAAATTCTTCAGTAACTTGGTCTTCGTCTGGTTTCTCATGTATTTCCAAATCGTTGATATATTTTTTAAAATTTGGAAAATACTTATAGTTTGTTCTGATAACATCGTTCCTGAAAACTTGCAGGTTAGTCTCAAAAGCGCGAGTGAGATCTACCATGACGATAATTGTTTTATTTATGCCTTGAATGTTTAATTTATTTAAATGTTGGCATATGTCTGTAAAAAATATCAATTTTGAAAGCCACAACTATTCTTCAACTTTTCCGTCATTTTGCAGAAACAGTCTGATTTCTTCCAAGCAATCAACAAATCTTTGAAGTATGTTCCTGCGACTCAACTAGCGAATATTATTACAGTACATCGAACAAACAAAGCATAGAACTTTCGCCTGTTTAAAGCCTGCGACGAGATGAGGTTGATTATTTTTGTGACTACCGCCATTACATTATCAAGAGATGGTAAACCACTCTTAGCACACAAGGCTTGTTGGTGAATGATGCAGTGGAATTGAAGAATCGAATGCCCTACGTCTGTTTGAAATAAACTTATGAAACCATTTTTCTTACCCACCATACTTGGAGCAACATCAGTTCATCAACGATTTGATCGCAATTAATTCTTCCTTTCCAACGTAATATTGAGCAAAAACAGCTAAACTAGCAGATTTAGCGACGTCAGTGCTTTCATCAAGACATAGCGATATAAAAGAAGCAGAGCTAATGTCATTTTTTTGTTGATCTGTTACATTTTTGGCCAGTTTTAAGATTCTTTCTTTTATTGTGTTTCTGGACAGAGGAGTATCTTTGATGCGCTGAATTATCTTATCTTCATTATCGAAATCATCAAAAAAGAGAGGGCGCGTATGCTAACCAGACTTCCTTCGAAAACTCTCCCTCTTGAAAAGGTTTACGCCGAGCAATGACATTTGTAGCCGCGTAACTTGCCGCGCTTGTATGACAATTTTTGCCAACATATTTAGTCATAGATGTTGACTGTTTATTTCTGTCTTTCAATGCACTTGCAATTAATTCTTTATGCTCTGGTTCGCTTTTTTGACTAACGGATTTGTGATTTGTTTCAAAATGCCGTTTCACAGACGATGTTCCAGAACATAAAACACAAACCGCCTTGTCACCTTTACTAATCATGCCATATTTCTCTGTCTACCAAGTTTGAAATTCTCTGATACTCTTTCTATCTTGCACTTTTTGTTTTTTTGCTGAACTAGCCATATTAAATAACAGTTAAAATCATAGATAAAACTCAAATAAACTTCAAATCAAATATTCACCATTATGTTATGCATAAACAAACTATGCGTCATTAGCAATAAAAACTCGTGATGTAGATTTTAGGGATCACTCGCGTTCGCTCACATATTAATACCTACTTCATACTTTTTTGTAGTGCATCATAATGAATTTTCTGATCAGTGACCCAAAATATTGTGTCGCGTGCCATTGGTTCACCATCCCTGGCCTTAGGTGGTTTGTCAGGCAGTCTCGTCGATGTGGGTTTCCCTTCTGCTGCCCACTACGCCCGTCTATTGTTCTCTATTCTGTATCTTCGTCTTGACCTTGTAAATGTAATAATAACTTGGATATCTTAGTACAATATCTTAAGATAACCTAGTTCTTCTCGTGTTACAACTCTGCAAATCTATTCAAGTAATGTTACTTCTCTAATCGATCGCAATCCTTTCATTTCTACACTTGTAACCATACCTTTGTGTTAGCAGTCTCCGGCGCGTATGTTAGAAACGGTCTTACAATTGACTTGTACTGATATCGTTGCTACTTTATCAGTTTACGTGCTCCTGTATGCAGAAAAATCTAAACAATGGCTCAAAATTTTAATAGTGAGGGCATAAGTGGGACCACCAGTACTTGATCGGTTGAAGTTGAATCACTTATATCGATGATTGCTCGCTCTCTACTTGCGTTAATGTTACTCACCTCTTTGCGTGGAGGTGTTAGTTTCAACTTTTCCTTCACTAGGAGTAGGACCAAAAAGCATTTCCTAATTCCTCCGAGCTTTAGAAGGCATTTTAGCAGGCGTTTTCAGTATAACATTTACTACATCTCAGGAATTCCCGGAGTGTTTGACGTTTCAAATGCCATATTGCAACCTTCTTCAGAAATAAGATCGAAGTGATTTAACTAACTACATTTTCCAGGATGTCCGCTGAGCCCAAGTCTGTTTGCACTGTATACGGCGGACCTGGAGGATAGATTGGGATAAATGGGAGGGTTGGTGGTGGGAGGCAGAAAGGTGCATATGTTAGCATACGCGGATGACATCGTGGTCATGGCGAGAGAAGCGGCGGAGATGAAGGATATGATAAAAACATTGGAAAGATATTTTAGGGGGAAGGGGCTGGAAGTGAATGTGGGGAAGACAAAGATGATGAACTTTTGTAAGGGTGGGAGAAAGAGAACAGAAAACTGGAGATGGGATTGAAAAGAGATCGAGGAGGTTAGGGAGTATACTTACTTGGGGTATGTGTTTAGGGAGGACAACAGGGAGGGGTCGCATGTGATAGCTATGGCAAAAAAGGCGAATAAGGTGATGGGACAAGTATGGGGTTGGGAGAAGAGAGTCTTTGGAAGGAATGTGGTAGCGAGGAAGATTATGTTTGAAGGTCTGGTTAGCAGTGTGATGATGTATGGGGCAGAGGTATGGGGATGGAGAGGGCAGGCTAGATATTGGAGGTGGGTGCTTGGGTGGCGAGAAAAACACCGGGGTATATAGTGAGGGAAGAGGTAAAGGTGGATAAGGTCAGAGTGGAGGCGGGCAGGAGGTCAGGGAAATATGAAGAAAGAATAGAAGGGAGGCCAAACTGCGGGATCTTGGGGGAGTGTTGGAGGGAAATTAGAGAGGGAAAGATCAGATATGGGAAAGGAGACAGAGACAACAATTATTGACGAG